AATCATCAGGCTTCGAGAGCCGATAATGCTACAGGCGACCAAACACGTCTCGATGCTGCTAGAATAGGGCTGAAGGCGGTACTTTATGAGTTGTTTCATCCACCTATGTTCGTTAAAGCTGAAGAGACTTCTGAGGATATTGCTATGCAGGACGCAAACGGGGGTGACAACGTTGAAGTTGTTAACATTCCATTGGCAGTAGACGATGAGCTTTCGGATATTCCAGCCGAAATGAGAGAAACGGTTGCACAAGAAATTGCTGCTTTTAGAGATAGAAGTAACAGACGAGACCTTGAACGTCTCAAGCGCGAGGAGGAGATGGAAGTATTAGAAAGGCAAAGAAACGGCGCACCCCGACCTTCACGCCTTGCTTCCCCCGGGCCACAAATTCCCAGTGGGCCTTCTGCAGGTTCGAATAATATACCTCTTGGGCCTAGAGGTGTACCCAATGCACCTTCGGGTCCTAAATTTCAAGGCCAACAGATACCACGAGACTATCAAGCTGGCGTTAAATTTGTTAATGGCAGTGGTATCAATGCTGGATCCGGCGGGGACAATTATTATAACCGCGAGGACGAGGACAGTGATGCTAGCGATGAGGAACTCGAGCGAAGAAGAAAGTCGAAAAAAGAGGCAGAACTTGAGAAGCAATATCTTGACCAAGAAAGGCGCTGGCTTAATCGTGAAAAGTCTCGCACAGCAGCTGTTCAACGAGAAAAAGAACGTGAAGATGAGGATATTGCGAATGCGGATAATCTGAAACAGAAGATGGCTGCAAGACTCAAGGAATGGGACGATGATGCTGAGGCTGCTCGCAAAACTGATCCATATTATGTAGACAGAAGTCTTTGGGTTCGAAATCGGGCAATCTACGTTCAACGTGAAGCTGCTGCCGATGAGAGAGATAGAATGGCGGAACAACATGAGAGACGCCGCGAGACGTCAGATAAGGAGCAAGCTCGAGGATTGGCAGACTCATTCCTCGATCGTCAAGCTGAAGAACTCGAAACGAGATCTTCTCGCATGGCTCAACAGCCCTTCAAATTGTCCCTTGGAGCTGCGGCACAGAAAGCTCAAAAAGCAGCTCCACCTCGTCGCACTGTCGCTGAAGTTGAAGGTCTCCTTGAAGATGAGGAAGAAGCCGATCATGCATCAAAACGCACACTCATCCCAATCAAATTCGATCCTTCGACAGCAGCAGCTGGCCTTTCTGACGAAGAACGTGATCAAGCGGTTCGTCAACTTGCACAAGAGATACCTACAGAGAAAGAGGGACTTTGGGCATGGGATGTCAAGTGGGACTTTGTGGATGATTCTGTAATCGTGGAGAAGTTGAGACCGTTCGTTGAGAAGAAGATTGTGGAATATCTGGGAGTGCAGGAACAGTTACTTGTGGAGGTTGTTGAGGAGCATGTTAGGACCAGAGGCAAGCCACAGGAATTGGTGGAGCAGTTGGAGGGAGTACGTAAATCTCTTTTGCTTTTGACTTGTGTATCATTTTATATGTTTACTAACATTCTTACAGGCATTGGATGAGGAAGCAGAAGTTCTAGTGAAAAAATTATGGAGAATGGTCATTTTCTTCTCGGAGAGTGAGAAGAGAGGTCTTTCCGCATAAATATCAGTCACCATATCAAACACAAGAAAAGTTTGAATGGGTAGCATTTGAAAGGTATGATACGGCGTTCACCCAATCTCTCACAGGAAGAGGAAGATTGTATTTGAGGAAGAAAAGGGGCTTGTTGTCAATCGCAGTTAATTGCCGAGACAAATTCATCAAATGTCAGGCAATGGTCTTTGACTGCAATGCACTGCCAAACAGCATGTACACTAAAAAATTATAATACATATCACAGGATGCACAACCTCTTGACATTTTTCAACTTGTTGATTCATATTTGTGGCGAGTATTTAAGATATTACCAAAATTAAGTTCCTAGAAGGAGTGATCGCTCATCATACCCGCTTTTGGAATTGATTATTACATCGTCGATGCACCCACGAGTATTCATCCGATTTGTGGATTAACATGCCCAGTAATGTAGGCCAGGCCATCAGTGACCTTCCAAAGTTTATTCCCCTGGTTCGCCCCTTTCTCTTACAATTGAAATTACATGTCCACATAGAACGCCATTATGCAACATCGGATGTCAAACCCAATTTTTAGCTAAAGATTTGATTCGTGGGCACTACACTGACTATAGGAACATTTGATTAAAATCACCAGGGTTAGCGAAACTGTAAATCCCCGGAATGTCCCGCATGCGTTTACCCTACAGGCAATTTCAATGCGGCATTTAAACTTGCGATATATTATATTCATAAGGCGACCTGTACAAAATTGAATTCGATACTTGTATTACAAGCCAAGAGTTGTCCAGTATCTTGTCAAACATGAAGTTACACGATTTTCTCATCCTCTCGCTTCTCTACTTCCCCCTCTCTTCAGCAAAATTATGTTCCATGCCCTATAACTCCTCCCCCTTAATCGACGACGCCCCAGGCATCACCACAGCTGTTAATCTATGTGGTCCGAACTCGACAATTCTTTTCGAACCAAACGTCACGTATAATCTACTCACTCCCCTCAGTTTCAAAAACCTTACGAGTGTAAAGTTCTCGTTTGAGGGCAATATCAGTTTGAGTGAGAATGTGACGGCAGTACAGCTGGTGGTCAACAATACGCGTATTTATCCGGGAAGATGGATCACGCTCAAGGGGACAAATGTGACTTTTGAGGGCAGTGAGGAGCAAAGTGGTGGTTGGTTTTTGGCGCATGGGGAGAATTGGTGGAGTAGTCCGTGGGACTCGGTGCAAGGAGGACGGCCGCATTGGTTCGGGTTTACGGTTACGTATGTTTGAGATGTTGCCTTTTCCCCCTTCCTCTTATCGACAGGCTGTTGCTGATACTTTTGGAAGCGATCTTGTGATTCGCAATCTTAAGATTCTTAATCCTGTGGCCTGGGTGTTTTCGATAGGGGGAAGTAATGTGGAGATGAGGAATACCTTCATCGACGCTAGGAGTAATGATAGATTTCCTTTTAATACTGGTATGTATCTGTTCCAATCAGAGCCATCTCAGCTTAATTCCTCAGAGTGTGGAATATTAATTGAACGAATAGATGGAATTGACCTCTCTGCATCTAACGTCCTCATCGACGGGTTCGAAATTCACAATGGTGACGATGTGATCAACATCTCACCTCCTGCCACAAACGTCACCATGCGCAATGTCATCGCCTCTGGAACGCACGGTCTCTCTGTCTCTTGCTCTTCAGGCACAGGCGGTAATTATACGTTTGAAAACGCGTATATTTATGATAGTTTGATGGCAGCAAGGTTCAAGGGGGCGATAGGTACAACATGTGATGTGAGTAATGTGACATGGAGAAATATCGAGGTGAAGAATGTTAGCTACCCAATCCATTTTATCGAGGATTATTATGATCAGGAAAAGGGTATCCCGAGCGGAACGAATACTAGCATTGCGGCTTTTGCGAAAGGGTTTACATGGGAGGGAATTAATGGGAGTGTGGCGGCGGTGGTTGGGGATGCGAGTTGTGTGAGTGATCCGTGTTGGTATGCTACTACTGGTGAGTCTTCCCACTTTGATCTTTTTGAGAAGTCATACTTCGTTGCATAGCAATTTGACGATTGATGTTGTATTTTATAGATGAATCGCCAAAGACTGGGTTGTATCTACTTTGTCATGATAGTGCTCATTGCGAGGACTTCCACTTCGAGGGCATTGATTTGACTACTGCAGTAAGTCAACCACAGATATTTGCGGATGGTCTCTGTTACTAATAAAATTTTAGAATGGGACTGCGGCGGGAGAAGTGTGTACGGGGTTGGAAGGTGTGGAGGGCATGGGGGTTACTTGTGTGAATGGAACGATTACAGCGAATTGATTGTCTAGACTGGTCTTCACTCTCGCGAATGTCACTTGACACTAGGCGACTATATGCTTTCAAATAGCAGTGTAGATCCATCCATAGCTCATCGATTCAACCTGATACACACCTGACTAGACGTGCCCTTTGAATCTGGTGTACCTGGGTTTGGCCGCAAAACTGCACCGACAAATCTGAAATTACTACTCGGCGATCTTACATTGTCTGGATAGCTTGAAAGTTTCAACATCTGATTGCATTCCATACCAGAACTATGTTGTGTCTGAATGGGTATAGATTGCTCAGACTTCCAAGCAAAGGGAAGCGGGCAAGATTGAAGAAACATGGAGAGTTTGAAGATATGTGGAATTCATATCTCCTCTAAGAAAATCAGCAAGGCTTGAATGGTCAAATCAGATGCCTCAGCAATGAAACAAACATTTTTGTGCTTTTGACAGGAAACAAACTAACACTTGGAAGGTCATGTTTGATACCTTCTAGGACTGTTTGCATTTGTGGGTGAGGACTTCCATTGTTTTGTTTGCGAGCTTTCCGTCGCTGTTCTATGTTCATTGAAGATCATAGATCATCTCATCCAAGGAAAAGTCATTTGACAGATTCAAGTGAATCCGGTTCCTTGATTTATCTTTGTGTGTCTCGTTGGGGTTGTCGTTTCAATTCACCAAAACACATGTTATGAAACCATCTCTTTAATCCATTCATTGAGTGGGAATGTAGAAGCAGATAATTGATTCTATTTCTTCCCATGGCAACAAGATTTTTGTATGGAATTTCTGGTTGAGAAAATAAATGAAGTCGGCAATTCGGTTGATTGGGGTAAAACTGACCTTCCCTGGACTTCACAAGATATTGCCTTTCCCTCCTCTGCTCTTCTTCCACAACCCAACCACTTCTCAAGATGCTGGGACTGACTAGGATTAATGTAAAACCCTTTTTCTATCCATTTGGAAATACTCCAGCCATCAATTTGTTACAGTTTCGGCGCCCTGTTTGCGAGAAGGATGATGCGGTAAGAGTATTGTTGTTGGGTTGTGGCGATCCCAGAAACTTGCTGTTTACCCTGTGGTGCAATCAAGGTGAGACATCATGTTATCTCAAGATGCGAATCAGAGTATGCGCAAGTATTAATGCTCTATTCTATAGATGAACCGATAAAATGGGAGTTCGTGTGTTGCGATTCAGAAAGTGCAATTCTGGGTAAGACAGCCCACCATCCTATTCCTTCCAGATTCTCATATTAATAAATCTTTTATATAGCGCGCAACACTCTTCTCTTCTCTCTCGTCATTGACAATGAGCCCTATGCATCAATCTGGAACATATTCTACCATTTCTACATAACTAACACCGACAATGCCATGCTACAGAAGCAGATTTGCAAACTTCTTCGACAATCGGCGAACTTAGAAGTATGGTCATCTTCAAACTATGGCGCATCAATCTGTTTCATGAACCAAGACACACTGGACCAAGTTCGAGAAATGTGGACTCAGTATCTCGAGATCGCAAATCTTAGATCAGATTCCAGGGAAAGAGATCACTTCGAAACAAAGTTTAAATCAGAGATCAATTCAACCAAGAAAGAGCAATATGTTACAAAGAAGGATATCGGGGTCCAGGATGTCTGTGGTCGGAAACAGTATGCGTCTGCTCTTCGTTCAGCAGGTGGCAATTGGGAAAGTGCCATCCAAACAGTTGTTGACGCCTTCGCTGGATTTTGGGACCACGGTGTGATCGCGGGGAATTCGCATGATGTGGAAGCTTTGAAACTCGATGGTCAACTTGTTAATCCGCTGATGGCACTTACATCTGCAGGAAACGCATTTGCAATCTCTTCGAGCTCGGATCCTCTTTTGGGCTTTCGCCTCGCAAGCGCCTTCGATAATTTGAATTCTTCCCAGGAGGAATTGGCAGCAAATGTTGTGAGACAAGCAAAGACTCAATTTCAGGAGTGGGGTGCGAGTTTTGGGGAAAGGGTTCGTGAGAAGGTAATAGTCATACGACTCTTTTGCGGCGATGCTTTGAGATTCTCTTATGCGCTACAAAGCTTAGGAGTTAATGGAACTCCAGAAACGAAACTGCTCAGTTTATTTACCATGGCATGGCGTTCAACTCCACTGACTCTTTACAATCCTGGTACGACAAGCGGTATCCATACATTTGACGTCATCGACACCAACAATCTGGCTGATCCGCTTGGCATTCTGAATCTGCTGTCCGCTATCGCGCCATTATTGTCTCGCAAGGCAACCTCAGTCATATTTACTGAGACGCTGTCTTTTTATACCAAAGATCCAGTTGAAATTCTATCTCATATCCTGTGTTGCGATATCACAACCTTCTCACTACTTCTGGGGTTGGCACCATCCGGTCACTTATTCGGGCTTACCACGTATGCCGTTGGGCTGAATGCCCAACGACAATTTTCAGTCCATCGAAATAACAATGATAGTTATCATATGCGAGTTGAGTGGAGATACCCAAATCTAGACGATCCAGCAGGTAGAGAATTGATTTTCGAACCGCACGAGCTCGCCCTTTTCTTCTTCAAGCTCTATTCGAGGATGTTCGAAGTTGAGTCCATGTCTCCAACTACCGGAAAGGAAATACATCATTTAAGATACAATCGTCTTGGCTTTTCCGCTCTTGTTTGTCTAGCGAAAGATTGTGTCAAGAATGATCAGCTGTCAACCTTTGGGGACTCTCTTCTCGAACATATCGAAAGGGAGGATCAATTGCGTATGGGTGGTCTTCAACTTCTCGAGTTATCGTTACACTTCTACCAACTAGGCATTTGTTCCCGGCCATCTTTACTGGAAATACCTCGTCAAATCATGCTTGCAAGCCAAAAAGAATTCAAAAATGGTCCGTTGAGTTTACGATATCAAGAAAGTGGCATGGATTCACTAGATCAAAATGAATTTCCTCGTCTGGTTTGGATCTCTCTGAGTGTTCCACGCGAGATCCTTGAATCATTGAAGATAGATAACGAGTATGCTACGGTTGGGCTACAAATCAAAATCCGGCATACGAAAAGTGAGACCGAGGCCAGCTTCATGTCGCTTCAGTGCTTTTTTGGTAGTCTGGTCCAACGAGCTGATGACAATGATGCTTACGATGTGATTGAAGATCCACAAGGCTTGAAGGGGACATCGGACTTAATTGTGACATGTGCTGTACCCTCCTTAGTATTGATGTTAGAGTCCAGAGAATCCACACGAATAGAGTTAGCATTTTTAAGCAGCAGCAGATTGAGTGCGAACTATATGTACGGCGGGGCTATATGTAGCTATAGTCTTGAGGATAATGTATTGATTCTAAGAGAGCCGCCAGGAGTCAGATTACAGCCTTTTGCAACGGATCATGCAGCCGTCCTACGCATATCTTCTACTTCTAAAAATCCTTGCTTTGTCCGAATGACAGACGGTCTTTCAATTGAGTCCCTCGAAACTCGAAAGAATTTTGAGCATTTAGCAACCGAAAGTGCCATCAGAGCCCGCCAAATATCTCCTTTCATTATTTCCGAAAGATTCAACGGTTTTGAAATCGACCAGATCCATTTCCCATATCCGGTTTCTCTCCATGAAGCAACGATCGATACTTTGAACAAGGTGAAAACATTGGTTGCAAAGCCGAATTTAGCTTTAAATAATACAGGTTACACACTGAATCAATTTCCGGTTGTGCTGGATGGCTCAGACGCTTATCCTCTCACAATTCCCAAAGTAAATATGGATCAGCAGCCAATCATATCTAGTACTGGTCGCGAGACTGGGGAATGGATTTCGAATCTCATGCATAGTATGTTCTGTGCACGAGAACGCTCGTACTGGCGCAAATCTGATATTGGACTCCAAGAAGATGTTCCTGCTCTATTTACAATCAAAAGCTACATCCACAACATGGCGGTTTCCTTCGTTCAGCCATCTTCTCTAGGTCGGAAGCAGACATTCTTGTTTGATAGTGGTGACCCACGTAGTATCTCAATGATCATCTTTGTCTCGGCTTTGCGACATAATATTGATCAGAGCTCGGTTGTTCTAGATTCATATCTGCTTCCGCTTACAGCCGAATCCTCTCCGATCACCCCTGTAATCGAGAAACTACTTGCTTGTAAAACCACTCAGCCAATTTCCTACGGTATGAGAGAGGTAGATGAGCAGTTAATGAGAAGAATGCTTCCAGCAACCGTAGAAGCATGTCGAAAAGGCTGGGACCATGGTCCAGGCTGCAAATACCGTCAATTTGGCTCAGTATCGTCGTATACTGAATTAAATCAGTCGCCAATCTGCGCATGCGGCGAAGGAAAAACTGCAGAAGGTTTTCCGCGGGTTGAAGGATGGAAAATTCTTAGTGGATATACGACGAGGATTGCTCTTATGCCGTTGTCGACGGTAGATTACGTTGAAGCGCATTATTCGCAGGAAGAACATGACAGGTATGAGAAGGGAATATTTTCAATGTCGACCTCGCCAGGTTTTCGCATAGATGGATTAACACGGACGTTAGTTGATCAAATCAGTATAGTTGACTCCAGGGGATGTAAAAAGTGTGGCGATATCTCACAGGGAGACACGGTTCATAAGCAATGCGGGAGATGTAGAGGAGTAAGATATTGTGGTCCGGCGTGTCAAAAGGCAGACTGGAAAGAACATAAAAAAGTATGTAAGATTGCAGCGACTAGCACTTGAGTCATATGTTGTTGTATCAATTGATGGATATCAGAATGTGGTTTTAATTATTGCATTTTGCTCGAGTAAATCGAAAGTTTCTCATTGGCTTAACTTATCCAAACTGCATAGCCATGACCGTCCTCGGTGCAAATTATATTTGTACATATATCCTCTGAGAAAGTGCTTGCTCGTTACCAATCGTCTAGTTCATGCGAGATATCGATTCGTGTTATTTCTCCAGATCCTTATTTCCAGCTCTAAAGTCTGAATTCAACGAATTTCGATCGACAATCGTCGAAGAACTCGACAACACCGATGAAGAAGACAATGTCAACATTCGAGAATTTCCCAGCGAGAAAGAGGGACGAGGTTGCGAATCGACCGACGAGGGCGATGACAACAATGATTGCGACAATGATACAGACACTTCTCTCACACCACCACCATACACTCTCCCAAAAATTTCAATCCCCTCCGAATGAAGCATCCACAATCCCACAACATCAGTCAAACATCCGCATACCAGTATCCCTATCTCCGTACACATCGTAATATAATAAGGCATAGTCAGTCGATCAAGTCTCCTCGTATCAATCTTGCACAACAAATATAAGATGCATTCAGCAGTGATCCATTTTGGGATTTCCCTCCAGGTCATTTCCCGTAGAAGGGTGTTTTGGGTCGCTATTTGCTTCTCTCTTGGAAGGAAGTGATAGTTTCCGCGCTGGTAGTGGAAGATTTTCATGATTTGTTGCATGGTCGGTACCAGGTATGAGAAACAGAGAAGACAGAGAGATATTACAATGGACCTAGAGAGGAATGTTATTTTAGGGTTTCAGGGTTTGGAATTTGTGGGTTTGCGAATCGTGGGACTACGAACCATGTTTGATCGGATCCAGTGACGGCAATTGCGCATGTGGTTATGAAAGCAAGGAAAACTAGATACTGAATGACGAGAGAGAGTAAAAACACGACATTGGTGTTGAGAATTGGCATTGTGATGTTGCTGTCCGATTTGATGAAGATGCTAAGCTATTAAGGGGGACTTTTAACTTCGGATACTTGAGGCTGAGCTTGACTTTAAGCCTGAGAATTTGCTTTTCTGCACGTTTTGCATGGGAGGAGAATGTGATATATCGACTCACGGGGAATCAGTGTTTCTCGGGTGATGCAAGGGGAATCCTGAGCTCGCTTAATTTTCTATGTAACGAGCTACGTGGCGTGCGTTTGCTGAGCCAATGGAACTTGTGTCTGCTTCTTCATGTTTCTCCGTCCCAAAAAAAGTCTCATATTCATGCTAATTTAATGCCAAAAGCACGAATCAAGATCTCGCCACATCGGAATGATTTTCATGCATAAACGCCATAATCTACACCCAAACGCCACTTTCACACCCAGATCTGCAGTGCAGAAAGCCTTCCACATCAAAGATAGAACATAACATTGCTGATCGATGGATGCCAAGGATTCTTCCACCCATCTGGTAGAATGCCTGAAGCATTTGGTTTCCAAACGAGCGTGTTTTCTCCACAAAAAGCTGTCCTTTGTGTTCCATCCATATCGCCCGTGGTGCCCTCATCACGATAACCCTCTAAAACAGGCTTCAAATAGCATCTCACACGATCGCACAGCATATCTGCGTAGCGGGCTGGTGTACATACAGAGAGGGCTTTGGAAGCGCGAGAGCCGGTGTAGCAAAGCTTGTTTGTCTGCGTACAATCAGTTAGTGCATCCAGCGGTGTGGGTCTCGAAAACAATAGGAAACTCACAATATTCATGATGTCCTTTGGATTTTTCTTGTAATCAAGATCATCGTAAATCACAACGTACTGAGTACTTCTAGCCGTGCCGAGCGGACTACAATGGCTCTGCAAGTAGAAACTAAAGTGATTGGGTGTCACGACCACCGAATCGATAATAGTTCCAGCGTTCAGATTTGGATCACCCTTTACTAAAGTCAAAGGGTAAAATCTGGCATGATGTCGCTTAATTGCAACGATTAGGGTAAGTTTAGGTTTCCATTTCACATCCTTGGCCACTTTTGGAAAGGCGCCAGGGAGTTTTTTCTTGAGATTAGATTTTAGTTCCATGTATGCATCAGAGCATCCATCGAATATTTGTTGTTTCTCGTGATGTCGAACCATGCCAAACTGACTCTCGCTCACTCCATCTTGGTAAAAAAGAATATGGTCGGGAAGAATCTGTGGATATTGGCCACCAACCCTTGGTTTTATGTCTTTTAAAACACTTTCGGCCCAGACAAGAAGTCTTTCTTTTATCATGCCTCGAAGATCCGAAATGTACTTCAGGAGCAGAGGTTAGCAATGCAGAAGACGTAAAATGAACGAGTACACGTACCTCTTGTTTTCCTTCCTGAAGTCGTGCAGAGCTGAGATATTGGAATTGGCTGTCATCGTCGGTAGCCACTACAGCAGCGATGGAAGGACATCCTTCCTCGTCGCCAGGATGTGTGACATCTGCTCCGACAACCATAGTCCGGGACTTGGTTCCACACCCATTGCTCACTTCTTGATTGATGCCTCCCAATTTGAGATTGAATTTTAAGCTATTCGATCGTTCTTAGTAAATCTTCATGCTGGAAATGTTGGAAGGTTGTGACACACCTGATGTTACCGCATCTGGCGCGATCCCCGCTCCCCGAAAGGGTTTTTTCCACGACGCAAACTGTCGGGATGCCAATATCACAATCTGCCCATCTCTTTATTTCTGGATAGAGCTTGCGACTTCGTTTTGGAAGCACAACCAGGATCAAGGGCACGTTTTCCGTACCTTCAATGACCGGCTGTAGAGCACTTTTGAAAGTAGTAGCGCAAGCTTGGCGATAGTTTTCGGGTTCCTGTGCTTCTTCAGGAATTAACGCATCATAAAACACACGATTCGTAATCTGCTCAAGGCCAAACTCATTCAGAGATCCGACTAAAATATCAGTAGCTTTGTTCATATCTTTTTCTTGATTATGAGCAGTATCTCTCAACCACAGAACGTAAAGAGTCGTGTTCTTAATACCCGGTTTCCGGCATTTCTTGGATCTGAATTCCCAGGCACCGTCGTGAGCTGTAACTTTGTCAGTCTCTCTAAGTAATAACATCGGGGCCTCAAGATATCCCGCTTTGATCTCGACCAAATTTGTGTCTGGCGTAATTCCAAATGCCTAATTTTAGTGGGCGATGTTAGTAAATAGACACTAAAGTAATAGGCCTCTATAATATATGCAATACTGTTCTCACCTTGTAGAAGGGATCCTTCTCAAAGAAGCCCAATTCTACCAATCCCGTCTCCTTGATAGCAACTTTACTCTGTTGAGGGCCCTTGGTGGTATCAATCATAGCAGCAACATAAGGCTCTGGCAGATTCTTCTTAACAATTTGCCATTCAACAATTTTCAAATGATCTGCTGGAAACCAAGTTGGCTCTGCCTTGCTTCCCACGTTGATGCACCGTGCATTCTTGTCTAACACAGTCTTATGGTATGCTAGGTGACTGTCAACAACTTGAGATCTCATTAACAACAACGGAGTGAAAGAACTTACTAGCATTCATGTAAGCATGAACTGACATCTCTGTACCATCTTTCATAAATTTAGTCTCTGACACACTATGCGGCGCGATACTTTTGATGTTGAAGACTTTTTGCCTGTTCTTTCCATGAATGTCGAAAACAACACGAATCCCCTTCAGAAGTCTTCCAGAATCGCCCCAAGCATTCGGGTTTGATTCTATCTATTTGGCAAGATTGATGGGAGAAAAGAACGCAGATGTTGTCACATTAACATTGAGCAAAACTGAGCCCTTCCCAGGCCTCATTGAGCTGAAGAAACCACGATGTATCTGATACAAAGGTACCTTGTCTTTGAAGCGTAGGCTAGGGTCCTTCTGTTCGTTTGTTCGTCGTTGAGACATCGATCTCTCGTCATCGGCCATAAAGCTATGTGGATAGAATTTCTTGCCCACACGACCTCCTTCGTACTGAGGGGAATTAACCTTCTTCCAAGAAATTATATTCAGGAACTTTAGTTCCTCTTCAGGGTGGTCAAGGGGTGTATTCTTAGACTTGACGTGGTCTATCAAGGCCTTGACATTAACCAATCCGAGGAATGACAATGAAGAGTTCATATTAATCAGGTTGCCATCAGGTCCGCTGCGTGTATGTGGTGTTGAAATAGAGCATCCGAGCTTACTCAAATCATGCTTGCCGAGTGGTTTATTAGAGACAACAAAGGAGTCAAAGTCGGTAGCCCAGCTGATTGATTCGAATAGATCTTTGTTTTCCTCGAGAAGCCGCGTGATTAGATAGCGCTTGGTTTCTGGCCGTGTAGGTACAAACCCTTCGGGCTTCCCGCGAGAAATGATTCTGTCAAGGCAAACCGAGTACTTCAAGATCTGCGCCTCGCTGCTCAGACCGACCTTGTAAAAGTTCGCGTTAATCTTAGTAGGTGGGTCCCAAGTTTGGCTCTCGGTTTGGGGGATTCTCCGTGACTCTTCATCATACAAGCTTTGAAGTTTCTCTTCCATCGTTCTGTTATCGGCAACAGGCTCGGGTAGAGAGTTTGATGGTCCGGTAGTGTTAGCTGAAGCTTGAGACGCTGCACTTGATGCTGCATTTGACTTGGGACCATATCTTTTAAACCATGCATCTCGCGCGTTGGGAGTAAATCTATCTGCAATATCTTACCTAATCTCAGAAATCTTCATGCCACCCAGCACAGGGCATTTGTTCTTTGGACATTCAGCGTGGCCGCATGATTTACAACTTTTCCCAACGCTTTCTGTGCAATTCTTACTTTCGTGTGGAGGTTCGGTGAATTCGAAACAGTTGTCGCACATCTGTTGATTGTACAGTGGGTAAGGTTTTTTGCATGCCAATACCGAGTAGTCATGTGCTTCCTTCTTGCAGCATTTCGAGCAGTCGACTTTAGTCATGTCGAAGGACGGATTCTCACCTATGAAACTAGGTTTAACTCGAGAAGACAGGAAGGTAAATTAATCAAAGTGGTCTGAATCAGACAGCTAATACACCAGAAGTCCTCAAGCTAGATCCTTCCAAATGAAGATGCTGTCCCTGAACATTCGTGGTCGGAAAATGAGCACAACTTATACTTTCAATTCCATGCTTGTGCATCAACGCCCATAATTTGCCCATGTGATTGCCCTCATCATGAGAAAAAGCTGCACAAAGCTTGCGCTAATTATTGCAAGCTTTGTGAAGATACATACGCAATGCGAATATTGCTTTTTTTAATTGTTCGAGACGTGGTCGATTGTCACACATGATTCCTGCTGTTTGCTTTACGGGAGGCTGTTGGTAACAATCGACGATGCATGTCTCTAAAAAAGCTCAAACCAACTCTTGATTTAACGATGTACCATTCTGTAGACAAAAGGAACTAGAAGTCAAATCACCGGCCCCAGAGACGCGATCCATTCTTGCAAGTGGGTTTCTTTTTGATGTCAAAACGGCTGAGAAGCAATGAGCTAAAGTATCCTGCGCGAATCTGGTGGATAGATATCACGGAAATTGTCTCATTGAAACATACAGATCAAAGATCATCAGTGAATAGATCATTTCAGACTCGAGGGTAAAATTCATACCGATACGCCAGCCTGCGATCGTTTCTTCCCCAGTATTCTTGATTTGATCCATGGAACCCTCATTAATGGCACAAATTGTCAGAAAGAGCGAATTTGACAGTTTCATGGGACTAAATTAAAGAGGAATCAGTTCACATTGAATCGGAAGACCATATTTCAGTGTTTTGAAAGCCTGCATTTATCGTAGTCTTGAATTCTTGAAGTATTCAGAATAGAATTTTGAGAACTCTTAAAATGTCTCGTTTGTATCAGTTGCACCTCGACTTCGAGATCTAGTCGGAAGGCTCAAATCGTTTCTACCTACAGTTAGAACACTGCTTGCTCTTGCGATACGCTCACACTGAGGCTAAATTTCCCCCGGTATTTTGAGAGTTATGGCGCCTTCTAGTCGAGTAAAGCTTTCAAGCAAATGTGCTTCATTGTCAAAGCTACGGGCAGAATGATGAGGAATGGGTTGAGGAAATCAAATAGTGATAATGGAAATTCGAAAACTCCAGTACTCGGACACTTGAGACTCAGTAAATGATGCATAAGGTTTGGAGTCGAAGCCAGCCAGCGGGCAAGCCGACAACACATATCGAGAGCCACCAACTGAACAACGCTGTGCTATTAAAGGTAACGACTAATCATGCTACATTACGAAATGAACCAGAGGTCAGCTTCCATATACCGACCAAGGAATCGAAGACAACATCTCTGTGGATATCAAAGTGGGGGGTGAAGAATAAACTCGCCAATTTTTGGCGGCTCATAATATGTATGTGTAAGAGATTTGCTGTAAAGTTGTTCTACGCTCCTTCTCAGTTCAGTCGCTTTAACAGTCAACTTGACTTGATCCTCATAAACCCACACGGGCATAAGTTTAACCGTGGCAGAGTATTGGTATTGGTTGAGCCCTACTAAAATCTTGATTGAACTAGATAGGAAGATGTGGCGTTTATAACTAATTTCATTTCTCATTAATCGTACGCCGTTGTGATACAGGAACACAATTCTATAATTCTTCATGAAAATTGTGGCTGCTCAATGCTGCTCAAAGATCATGCCACATATTTACAGCTTCTGCTTCTCCCTCCTCGTGCGCATCATTCCCCATAATTCTCCTATTCCTAGCCGGCGTCGGGCTCAAAGCGATCCTTGGTCTACTCATGAAAGCATTTTGGTAATCCGCATCCACACCCATCTCCATACCCTCGCCCATGTCCTCCGATTCATCATCCTCACTTTCCATCATAGATGATATCATCCTATCCTTCGCTGGAGTCGGACTAACAGCAATTCTCGGTCTACTCATGAAAACACTGGCATAATCGACATCATTTCCATCCATCAACACCTCTCGATCAATTGCTGGCGTGGCTGGAGATAATGAATCTTCTTCCTCTTGAACAACCTTTGGAAAATGCGATTGTCGCTGTTTCCTCTTTTCATCTTTGATACTTTGTCTTCGCTCTAACTGTGCTCTCTTTTGGGCTGCCTCAAAGCCTGCCATAGACTGACGTGTGCGTTCTATTAAGCCCGCATGTTTTCCTTCTTCTGTCACAGAAGACTTGACAGGTGTGGCTCTAGACTTAGAGTTTAGAGTCAGGCGATCCATATCTGGCAAATCATCAAAATCATCGTTAATCTTGGATTTCGAGTATCGTGGGTTCGAACGAGCCATGGTAAGACGGGTACGTTCTGCTAAAGACAACGAGCGTTGCAATTTTTGCGGCGATGGAGATGCAGCTGACATGGAGTTTAAAATCTGCTCTGCTTGGCTGAGCTCCGGAACAGGTCCAAGAGGGTTTTCAGAGGCTTGAATTGATTTGGAAGGAGATGGACTTGGCTGTGATATCATTGTATGTCTCCTTGTGATTGATACGGGCGTCTCAGCTGAGTTCCTTCCAAATTCACGTCCTGGCTCTTTGTCAAAGGAGACAGGGCGAAGGGATGATCTCGTAGCGCTTGGAGTGGCGCAGATATAGTCATCTTTGATAGCCGATGTTACAGTTGTGGCTTCGAATAATTTCTCGCTAGCGACGCCGAGATCTTCCGATGACTGCCCAGGCTTAATGATTGATGAAGCCCCAATGGGGATTGGTCTGTGAGATATTCTCGAACGTGGTGTACTAATCAATTCATTGTCGTGGCTACGAGAAGTCGAAATTTCGGCAGCCCCATCAGGAATCCCCACCGAAACAGGCGAATGGTCGGGAGATACGTTGGTTGATGGAGATATGTCCCCATCCTGATTACTTGGTGACAATGACTCTTTGCTTGAATCAATGGAAGGCTGGTTGAACATTTTATTCGAGCCGCCTTGAGTGATGCTTTCCTTGGAAAACGCCTTTTGCTTAGATACATCATTCAACGCAGTGCGAGTTCGTTCCATTAAACGGGCATATTCATCTCGAATGGGGATGTCCACGGAGCCGAAATCCTTTGTAGAATACTTCCCAATTTGTAATGTCTGGTGATCATTGAAACCAAGTTTGATACCCTTCTCCTCGACGGGAACTGCCTGCACCTTCTTGGTGGGTGATTTGGTACCGTTTCGAGTCAAAGTCCGTCCGAATTCTTGCCATCTAGCCAAACGGCTCTCTTGATTTTGCACTCGTGCCTCGAGCCGTTTGACGAGCCCGATTTCATTCTTACCTTCTATGTCTGCAACCGTACCATTCTCAATCTGATCCCAAAGCTCATCGAAACGCTTGGCCAACAGCCCCTCTCTACTGGGCCTATTATCTCCGTAAAGAATCGTTTCCAGCCACTCGTTACTACCAGACCAATTCTTGCGAAGTTTACTTTGCAATGATCTTAGATCTCTGTCGGATAATCCAGTGTGGCCTTCTCCTTCATTCATCTCATGGTTCAGATCTTCCCGTCGCTCTAGAGTTCGTTGATCATTAAGCTCGAGTGTTCTAGAAAAGTCGCGATATTTGGCTCTTAAAGTGTTTTTCTCGGCAACATGCTTGCCCAAAGATTTCTTGTGTGCTAATATCAAGGCCGATAGTATTGTCCTTTCTCCTGTGTATGAAAAGTTCTCCAGTGCCAGTTGTTGGGCAAGAGCTTCGTATCGTCCAGAGGTGTCTTCCTCAACGACTCTTTTCAGAACAGCGTTTGAAAATACCGCCAAAACTTCCTCCAGCCTTTCGCCCTTGCATTCGTCCAACATAGTTTTCCTCAGTACAGTATCTCGTCCAAGGACTCCATTCTTCTTGGCCTGATCCAGACATCGAAACAATGCGGTGCGCAGATTGAGGGACTGGAGAGGTTCGAGTGGTGGGAAGAATGGTTGTAATTTCTATAGACACGAGTTAGCTATTTGTGTCATTCCAAAGTGACAATAAACGGCAGTAGTGTACATTTCGAGTCTCTTCCGGATCCCAAATTGCAAATAGCTGAAATAGTGCCCACTCTACACTCTGTATTCGTTTCTTTTGATTCTGTTGCGCATCCTTGGTGAAGAATGTTACCACCGTAATATCTGGCCAGTCATCTCGCAAATCTAGATCCAGAAGTCGAAGATTGGTTATGAAAAGAGCAACGTATGAGGGGCCAGGGGGTGGTTGTGAGTTGGAGCTTGATGGAAGCCTCAAGTTGCTTGAAGCTGTCGAAGTTCGAAGACTCCGCGATCGCCCAAGAGGATTGAAGGTTGAGACGGACATTTTGTTGATCCCCCGCAAAGTCGATATGATAACAACATGTTATCATAATATATCTCACTTTAATATCAAAGATATAAAAGCGGTCTGCATTGCATTACATTCGTGGAGCTCTTCGCTTGGTGCCGAGTAAACAAACCAAATTTGGCGGTTGTGCCAGCACTGTATGGTGGTGCGTTTAAGTTAGCTCATCAATTAAAAATCGCAATCACATGATCTTGAGTTTTACCAGTCCCTTTGAAATGCTTGGCTGCTTGGCATTTGGTATGTGAATAAAACAATTTCCAACGACAATCTATCTTTCTCTTCTCTACTTCGTGTTGCTCTTCCTGAAATCCTTGTTAAAATACACATTTTGGTCGTATTGGAGGACTCGAAGGACCCTCATTGTCGCTGCTGTTACTATTTTCGGATCAACAATGCTCTCTTTCAAAAGGATAAATGGCATGAGTGGGTACGGCAATCACTGATTTCTAGCAAATCGCGACTTACGAGCGATGAAACGAAGAGACCGAATGAGAGTCTATTGGTCATTTATATTCTTTTGCGGCAGCATCTCAAGTCGTGGGCAGTTTCTTCTCAAAATGCTCTGCCTTGTCTGACTGTCGAGAATATCCTCATGTCCTATCATCCTATTGTCCGGTCACCATTCACTGCACCTCAAACTCAAACTTTCCTCAGGCC